CACATATATTAGGTGCTCATCAGGATGTAATGTTCCATCTCCTGCAAAAGGATTAGCTAGCAGTTTTTCTATCATACCCAAAGGAATTTTAAAGCAGACATTTTCATTTTCAGTAGGTTCAGTAGGTTGAGGAGCAACTATTTGCTCTACTGGTCGGGGTGAAGATACCCCGAACAAGCCCCTCAGAGGATTACTTTCCATAGTAACAAGTGACAGTAAATTTCAGCACACTATATAAATTTTTCCTTACCAAATTCCACCTACCAAAGGCGCTTCACTCCCAGCAACGGCGCCAGAAAAGAGTCTTGATGACCCACAAGTATAGGGGATCTATCGTAGTCCTTTCGATAAGTAAGATGTCGAACCCAACGAGGAGCAGAAGGAAATGATAATCGGTTTTCAGCAAGGTATTCTCTGCAAGCACTGAAATTATAGGTAACAAATAGTTTTGTGATAAGATAATTTGTAACGAGAAACAAGTAACAAAAGTAAATAAAGTGCAGCAAGGTGTCCCAATCCTTTTTGTAGCAAAGGACAAGTCTGGGAAAATTCTTATATAAAGAAAAGCGCTCCCAAGGACACATGGAAATTATCATCAAGCTAGGTTTCATCACGATCATATGATTCGCGTTCGGTACTTTGATAATCTGATATGTGGGTGGACCGCTGCTTGGGTGTTGTCCTTACTTGGACAAGCACCCCACTTATGATTAACCTCTATTGCAAGCATCCGCAACTACAACAAAAGTATTAAGGTAAACCTAACCATAGCATGAAACATATGGATCCAAATCAGCCCCTTACGAAGAAACGCATAAACTAGGATTTAAGCTTCTGTCACTCTAGCAACCCATCATCTACTTATTACTTCCCAATGCCTTCCTCTAGGCCCAAATAATGGCAAAGTGTCATGTAGTCGACGTTCACATAAGATCACTAGAGGAGAGACAACATACATCTCATCAAAATATCGAACGAATACCAAATTCACATGACTACTAATAGCAAGACTTCTCCCATGTCCTCAGGAACAAACGTAACTACTCACAAAGCATATTCATGTTCATAACCAGAGGGGTATTAATATGCATATAGGATCTGAACATATGATCTTCCACCAAATAAACCAACTAGCATCAACTACATGGAGTAATCAACACTACTAGCAACCCACATGTACCAATCCCAGACTTGGAGACAAGAATTGGATACAAGAGATGAACTAGGGTTTGAGAGGAGATGGTGCTGGTGAAGATGTTGATGGAGATTGACCCCCTCCCAATGAGAGGATCGTTGGTGATGACGATGGCGATGATTTCCCCCTCCCGGAGGGAAGTTTCCCCGGCAGAACAGCTTCGCCAGAACCCTAGATTGGTTCCGCCAAGGTTCCGCCTCGTGGCGGCGGAGTCTCATCCCGAAAGCTTGCTTATGATTTTTTTCTCATCGAAAGACTCCATATAGCAGAAGATGAGCATCGGAGGGCCACCAGGGGGCCCATGAGGTAGGGGGCGCGCCTAGGTGGGTAGGGCGCGCCCCCATCCTCGTGGCCAGGGTGTGGCCCCCCTCTGGAACTTCTTGCGCTCAGTATTTTTTATATATTCTGAAAATGACTTTTGTGAAGTTTCAGGACTTTTGGAGCTGTGCCGGCATTCTCCCTCTTTATGTAAACCTTGTAAAATAAGAGAGAATAGGCATAAGTATTGTGACATAATGTGTAATAACATCCCATAATGCAATAAATACCGATATAAAAGCATGATGCAAAATGGACGTATCACTATCATGTGAGATGGCCACCTTACCAAGGCCAACCACCTTACCCTTTGAGTTGTCACCAAAAGTGACATACTTTCGAGGGCCGTTGTTTTCAGCAAGCTCACGAAACATATCCTTGTCTCCAATCATGTGATCGGTACATCCACTATCAAGGACCCATTCCTTTCCTCCAGCCATGTAGCCACGAAGATTAGCCACAAGATCAAAGTGTCTCGTAGACTCATCAAGATCAAAGTCAGTATCCATGTTCAGCATCGTCTTGTGATTGATTAATTCCTAGAGAGAGTGATTCATTAGATAAGTGATCATCACAATGTTCATCTTTATGAATTCTAATGGCTTCGGAGATGATATTGCTAATGATTCCAACATCTCCTTTGGCACGCATGAGGTTACTAAGCTCAAATAAACAATCACTAAACTTAGGATCATTGGAATTCATCTTACTGAAGGCAATATACTTATGAAGAATTTCATTTAAGTTTTGCAAGGAATAGTTTGGAAATCGTTTCTCAGAAAATCTCCATATGGTGTAGGCACAATCAAGAGCAGGCAAGCTAGCAATCAAGTTTCTAGGTAATCCTCTACTGATTAAATTGTCAGTTCTAAGATTACGGATCATGTCAATAGACTCATCAAGGGTAGGATGCAAGGGGTCAACAAGGGGTGCACAAGGGCTAGTAATGTACTTGTTTAAGTGTTATTGATTGAAAAATCTCAAGCATCTCAATTTTCCACTCATGAAAGAACTCTCCATCAAGTATAGGTACTCTATGTCTAAGACCCCCAACGTAGACTCAACCATCTTTTAATTTCTTTAAGTTGAGGTGAAGTTTTAGCACAAGTTTAAACATTCACAATACATTTCAAGCAAGCATGGCAAGAGTATATGAGCAGCGGAAAGTAAAGCATGCAAGTTGCAAGAAAGCAAAGAGATGGGATTGGAGTGTGCAAACGCAATTGGAGACACAGAGATTTTTGGCGTGGTTCCGATAAGTGGTGCTATCGTACATCCACGTTGATGGAGACTTCAACCCAAGAAGGGTAACGGTTGCGCGAGTCCACAAAGGGCTCTACCCACGAAGGGTCCACGAAGAAGCAACCTTGTCTATCCCACCATGGCCATCGCCCACGAAGGACTTGCCTCACTTGGGTAGATCTTCACGAAGTAGGCGATCTCCTTGCCCTTACAAACTCCTTGGTTCAACTCCTCAATCTTGACGGAGGCTCCCAAGTGACACCTAACCAATCTAGGAGACACCACTCTTCAAAAGGTAATAGATGGTGTGTTGATGATGAACTCCTTGCCCTTGTGCTTCAAATGATAGTCTCCCCAACACTCAACTCTCTCACACAGATTTGGATTTGGTGGATAGATGATTTGAGTGGAAAGCAACTTGGGAAGGGCCAGAGATCAAGATTCTTGTGGTTGGATTGGGATATCTTGGTCTCAACACATGAGTAGGTGGTTCTCTCTCAGAAAATGAATACTGGAAGTGTAGGCATGTTCTGATGCTCTCTCCATGAATGGAGGATGGGTGAAGGGGTATATATAGCCTCCACACAAAATCTAGCCGTTACACATAATTTACCAAACTCGGTGAGACCGAACCATGAAACTCGGTCAGACGATTTAGTTCAAAATGTGAACATTAGAATTTTTGGTGGGACCGATATGATCAACTCGGTGTGACCGGTGTGCTATGGTTAGGGTAAAACCTCAACTCGGTTTGACCGATTACACAAACTCGGTGGGACCGATTTTGGTAATAAGCAAAACAGAGAGTTGGCCAAGCAAACTCGATGAGACCGAAATTATTGCAACAGGTAACAGAGAGTTTGCAAGCCCATCTCGGCGAGACCGAGATCCCATCAGTGAGACCGAACTGATTAGGGTTTCTGGCAGTGGCTATGTCAAGTGAACTCGGTGGCACTGGATATATCAAATCGATGGGGCCGAGTTTGACTTTTGGTTTGGGACATATGTTGATATGAGAAAGTGGTTGATGGCTTTGAAGCATATCACTAAGCACTTTGAGCAAGCAAGGCATTAAGCAACACCTCATCCCTTTTAATAGTATTGGCTTTCCTATGGACTCAATGTGATCTTGGATCACTAAAATGAAAATGTAGAGTCTTGAGCTTTTACCAATCCTTGTCCTTAGCTTCTTGAAAGGGTTCCACATCTTCTTGTCCACGCCACTCCACTATTGAACTCATATGAAATAAACTAGATAAATGTATTAGTCCAAACAAGAGATATGTTGGCATTAATTACCAAAATCACCCAAAGAGCACTTATACTTTCAGTAACACACACATCAAGAAAATGTTTTTATTGCTAATGTGTTCATTGTTTCGCCTCTTTTTATCTTGTCCAATTTGTATCATATCCCATATTCTTTTCAAATCTGAAATGTTTACAAATTCACAAGGAATTACCATTTTCTCTATAAATGCTTGTGATTGGAACGAACACCGTTAAGATGGGGAGGGGGACGAAGGGACTTATTCCATCCCATGATGTCACTGTCACATCAACGTCAGTGCTGGCACACCTGAACGAAAGCCTACATGACAAGAAGTACACATCGTAGTACACATCGTACGAACAACCAAGTTTCTCTTCAACTTCTTGCGCTTAGATGGCGGGGAACAACAACCTTATAACGCATAAGAGGAAGAAACCCTAGCGGCGGGTCCTCTTCATCCTTTTGTGCTTCAATGACCGTTCAAGATGTAGAGGAACAACATCGTTAACAGAGAAGAGGGAAAAACCCTAGCATTCCATAAGATTGTTACCATGATGAATGGATATATAAGCCCTGTTCGGAACTTTCCCGCTCCACAAAGTTGGGGAGTTGGGGTTTGACAGCTTCATTAAATTCAGATAAAGTATGGTCCGCTCCCGGAGCGGAGAGAAGCCGAACGCAGCCATATAATCCCTGATTCTGATTCTTATTTTTTTAATAGTGGTCGGTCCTTCTTTTGTGAGAGAGAAACCACCGGTCGGTCTTTGGGATCTCAGAAAAAAAACGCAGAAAAAAAGACACCTCCGAAGAACTCAGGAGAGCCCGCCGATCTGCAGTACTAGTAGAAACCAAGAGCAAAGTCAGGTGGCCCCCCGAAACAGATCCACCTCCTCAGCGTCGCGTGGTGGGAAGACGAGAACCTCCCAAAGGCCAAAGCCCACCCCATAACCCCTAACCTAGGGTTTCTTCGCCATGGGATCCGCCGCCTCCGCCGCCTCCGACGCAGCGCCGCCATCGCCTTCTCCAGCGCAACCACACGGGGCCGCGCCGCCGTATGGGGTTGGGCTCGCCGGCATCCTCCCTCCGAAGCCGGATGGGGATGATAAGAAGGAGGAGAAGGTGGACTACCTCAACCTCCCTTGCCCCGTGCCGTACGAGGAGATCCAGCGCGAGGCCCTCAGTTCGTCCCCTTCCCCTCTCTTTTTTTAGTTTTATTTATTTTAAACTGCCATTGTGTGTTAATTGCTGCAGCATTGCTAAACTGCCAGTTGATGTATATGTGTGTGCTCTTATGGTTGGTAATGAAGTTGTGCCATAATCCTTTCCTTGGTCGCGATTTGGTTGCTTGACGTGGATTATTATGAGGTTCCTGTAATCTGTAAATGTTTTTGTGACTTGCTGTTAGGATCAAAAGCTACAGAGTAGCCAAGTTTAGTCCATCTGAGATCAAGGGAGCACCAAAGCACTACTTCGATGCAACAGTTGTATAGAAATATATGATGTCGATGTTCTCCAGAACTTACACCAAAGTATACCATTTCTCTTGTAAAAGGATCCTTAAGCAGAGCAACCTTGTCATTTTTTCATATATCATACATAATTTAGAGTTAACAAAGGGATCATACGGTGCTTAACATGATCTTTTTATTGTACTTCTCTAGATATTATTGTTAGGTAGTGGAACAGTGTTATGATTTAGGAAATGAACCAATATCTCAATCATTCATGCCTCCACTATCCACAGTTTATTCCTTGTGTTAAGACGCTTTGCACATGGACACGGTCTGTCTCAGACTTTCAACTTTGACAGATAGTTTTTATGACAGGTTGGTAAAAAACTGCAAATGGTGAGATTATGAAAATATTTCTGTGAGAAATCTAGTAATAATACAGCTGTGAACAAATTCAATACCGTAAGATTTCCAATTCTCAGTTACACCTTACTAATTGACAAGAGAGATGCATTTGATGTGACATTATGGTCACCGTGGGCTTTATTTAGGCCTTCATAATTCTTTGAATATTTACATAACTAAATATGCAATTTTAAACTTGGAAGGGAATTTAATTGTTTGCTTTGCTCATTTGGTGTTTACCTACCTGGCTACCTGCTTGCTCTATATGCAGTTTGGCTCTTGAGCTTTCTTTCATGGGATTTACTGACATGCTCAATTTGCAGTGTCTCTGAAGCCTGAACTTTTTGAAGGTTTGAGGTTTGACTTCACAAAGATGTTAACCCAGAAGTTCGCTCTTAGCCATAGGTGAGACAAAATGCAAAATGTTGGTGATACTTCTTTTTTGTCTTATTTATGATGTATGCCGACAACTTATTACTGACATCTTAACAGTGTCCTTATGGGTTCCCTGGAAGTTCCATCTCAGTCAGCTGATGTTATAAAAGTCCCAACATCACAGTATGAATTTGGTGCCAATTTTTTAGATCCAAAGGTTTGTTCTCTTCACATTTGATATAATTCTGTGGTATCTTGTATTTATGAACTCTGTTTTTAACTGTGTATGGAATTTTCCGTAGTTAATGCTTATCGGAAGGTTGATGACTGATGGAAGGCTGAATGCTCGTGTGAAATGTGATCTGACAGAGAATCTCGCGCTGAAAATAAATGCGCAGGTAGCTGAATTTGATATTTTTTTTGTTTGGTGACTTCTATTTTACTCCTTTTTTGCTGATGGTTTCCTGTTTTCCAGCTTACTAGTGAGCCTCATTACTCTCAAGGGATGTTCAACTTTGACTACAAGGTAAGCTATATCTGTGTTCCAAGCATATCTGTTCAGCTACATTAGCTGTCAGTTACTTATAACCATGCTTAATTTTTCTCTTAGTGTGTGCTTCTACCCAACTACTACCTTCTGTTAACATTTTATTGCACATTTATATAGGGCACAGACTATCGAGCACAGTTTCAAATTGGAAACAATGCGTTCTATGGGGCAAATTATATCCAGGTAAAGATCATTATTTCCTAGTTTCGTTGTCGTACTCTACCTGCATCACCCAAGGGAAACAAAAAGGGAATACAAGTATATTCAGTCTTCTCTGTAGTTGTCTATTTGTTCCTTGACTGTTTAAATTCTGCACAGGAGTCCAGGAATTTCTGTTGATGTGTTTATCTTCAGTTTTTGCCCTTTGCTGTCTTTTGAGCTTCTTCTATATCATGTTCCCTGACCACGTCCTATCTGGCTAGTGTTGTGGCTATGCTTCAGGCCCAGCATATTTTGCAGTTTTGGTTCTGTTGAACCTTGAGCTTGTTTAATGTTTTGACTTGAAACAAACTACACTTTTGTATAACAGGCTATAGAATATTGCAGTATTAAATTTGTTTACAATTTAAAAATAACTTGGCCACTGTAAGATTTATGCATTTTGTTGCTATCTGATATCTGATGGAAATACATCAATAGTTTGTGCCAGTGATGTTTACAGTTTCAGCGTTCCACTGTAAGATTTGTGCATTTTGTTGCTTTCTGTTAGGATCACAGCAATAATTTGTAGCAGTGATGTTTACATTTTTCACTGGACTCAACTTATGCTTAGAATCAGCTCAAAACTTTGTTAGTGGCAAACATATTTTACATTAATTACTAAATAACCTTGCTGCACATATGAGAGTTGGTTTGTGATAAAGTGGGCAAATACATGTTTTTTTATCTACTCTTTGTGTTGACAACGGGATACCAATTTTTCGGTGTTCCAGAGTGTTACGCCAAATTTGTCGATGGGAACAGAGATATTCTGGCTTGGTCAGCAAAGGAAGTCAGGAATTGGATTTAATTCTCGCTACAATACAGATAAGATGGTAAGGAACTTCATAAGTCTTTTCTGTTTGAATGGCATGTAGGTTGAACTTCCGCATGTGCCATACTTAAGTTTACAAGCCCATCCATTTATTGCTGGTATAAAGGATTAATTTGGGGAGGGATTTGAAAAACTCTCACTTTTTTGTTTGTCTTTGACAAAAAAATAGCCATTCCTTTATGTCGCTTGCATGTGGGGTCTGGGGCCACCTGTCAATGACACAAGGTGTGGCTTTTGCGTCAAAGCACAAAGAAAAATGTGCCAGTTTGTCAAATTTTCAGTTCAGATTGTGGTTTAATAGGTCTATATGTATAAGGGAAATTAAGACAGGCTATCCCCATGCACATCTTACCGTATCGAGAAGAAATAAGAGAGAGCAGAGTTTTTTGCTTGATCAATCACTATTTGCTCACATGACTTGAATATTCACTCATGTTACGTGTAGAGAATTGATTTACTATGAGAATGCAAGCTGATACATAGCAAATGAAGCTACTATAGGAATGCAGGCTGAACACTATCTTTTACGACCATTGCAGGTGGGTACTCTACAGGTTGCTAGCACTGGTATTGTTGCGTTAAGTTATGTCCAGAAAGTTTCTGAAAAGGTTAGACACTACTATTATGAACATGAATTATTTGCATGCTATTTTAACCAGGTTCTAACTTGTAAGTATACCGAAGTGCAGGTGTCTCTTGCTACTGACTTTATGTATAACCACATGTCCAGAGATGTGACTTCCAGCGTTGGTTACGATTATATCCTTAGGCAGGTCAGTGTCGCTTACAACACATTTGAGTATTTGACATTCTATATTACTACCTCTGTCCCTAAATATAAGACGTTTTTCAGTTCAAATCAAACTGCAAAACCGTCTTATATTTAGGGACTATGTATTAATGCATTAATTAGCCTTAACTGGGTTCTTTATCTGCATGGTCTTGTTGCTGCCAATGGATATATATGTACCAACAGTATAAAACCATGTACTCTCACCGGTGTGGTGCCGTTTTTTCTGAAATTTCTTTTTGTTAGCTTAAGTTTCTTATTGCATTCCATTACAGTGCCGTCTAAGGGGCAAAGTTGACTCAAATGGTGTCGTTGCTGCATACTTGGAGGAGAGATTGAACATGGGTGTGAACTTTCTTCTGTCTGCAGAGGTATGAGCTGTAGTATGCCGTTTCTGATAAAAATGTTTCCTTCCCCTCAGCAATCCTAATATTTTTGGATCACCATCTTCTGAACTTGTGTTTTGTGACACAGATTGACCATCCAAAGAAGAACTACAAGTTTGGTTTTGGAATGACTGTAGGAGAATAGATATGCTCACAGCAATTACTGTGAGAGGACTACAGATGTCTCCTCAGTTCGTTATAAGTGCAGGTTTACCATGTGGTCTCGGTTCAAGTGTTCGGGACCTACAGATTCGCTCCTCAAGCGTTGCAGGCTTTTTTCGGTGTACTTGCGGTTGTCTCGTTTCAGCTGCTTTAGATAGCATGGGCGTTTGGGCGTCCATGATTCTTTGTTTATCTAAAACAAGCTGAAACGTTGTTGTAATAATGTTCACTTGGTTGTTGGAGATTTTTGACCCTTAGGTTCCCAGCAATAGGCTTCTGTGAAATGACCGTACTCCACAAGCTACAGATTATACATTGAGAATTCATGTGCAATCTTTGCTCTCATATCAGTTATATGTTCTTGCATGTGGGGCCACCAAGTCTTTCCTGCACGAATTGTTCTCTCATAGGAGTAGTTGCATTCTTTCAGTGCCTGGCCGATCTGGATTCTGACAACTGACACAAATGAGCCCCCGTTTGCATCTCAAAGAGGTGCATCATGGAACCACCTGTGCCACCCTTTATCACCACACTTCTTGCTCTCGCACTTGCTTGGTTTCTCCGTTTGGATGCCGGGTTGAGGGAGAGTTTTCTTTTCCTGAAGTGACGTTCGATCGCCTTGCTAATGCTAGGAAACAAGTTTCAAGTTTGTGAGAAAATCATTAAGCTTGATGGCAAATATGACCCTGAGGTCTGACACCGACAATCTGGCCACAACAACCTCGTCGCCTACAAGAACCACATGCTAAATTCTGACGAGTGTGTGGCAGCAACGTAATGTGCAGCACTCGCCACATCTGGGAACGCCTGGCTCAGATGCATACTCGACAGAGGCGAAGTTAGTTCCCCAAAACATGCATAATAACCTTGTCCACAAAAGGAAAGGCAGACAAACGTCAACGAAGAGGTCGTAGCACGAGAGGAGAAACTATTAAAGAGAAACGAGAGAGAGAGGGAGACAGAGAAGTAAAAGTGAATTTTTATTTTCATTGATGATGGGTTACATATATATAGCCCTCGAAGGGGTGTCTTCTAAAAGACACAAGGCAACTGCCTCCTTTAGAAAAAGTAGAGATTAATAGGATTAATTAAATCCTAACACTCCCTCTAATCCATACTTGTCAGTGTAAGTATCATCATCTTGAGAAGCTCCTCCAAAAACACTGTGGAAAAAATATAAGAAGATAGGTGTTCCATATGTTGCTAAAACTCCTTCAAACCCAGTGGGAAAATGAGAAGAAAATGATGCAACATATAATGGTTATTGTCTCTTTTAACTCAATACGAGAAAATCCATAGAGTTTAGAGGACAATAAATATGTCGTATATACTTTCCTAAAAACCCCGGTGGGGAAAACAGAAAGTATGACATATGATCTCATGTTGATATTACCTCATTAAAAACCTTTATGAGAACCTATAAAGTAAACTCATGAGGGAAAAAAATAGTATAATATGATGCATTGAACATGAACAATTCAGGAAGATACCCCCCCGATTCTTGCAAAAATTCAAAGTCGTCACATACCAAAACATAGAAGTTGGTAGAGACCCGCTGAACAAATCAATCGCATGATTTGACTTGCAAGATATGTAATATAGTGATATTGCTTATTATGTAACATGTTTGCATCCGGGCAACACAAGAAACATTATCGTTGAGATAATGGTTGGTGAATGTAGCCATGAGGTCTGATCTGAAGACTCTTCATGAGAGGGCTACCACACCTAATAGGAACACTAAACTTGTCTATGATCTGATAGTGGGGATCTGATCGATGTATCCAATGATATTGGTGTTCAGATTTCTCCGAAAACTGAAAAACCAGGACAAGATGTTTCATGCCTTGAAGATATTGAAAGATATTCTTGAGTACCAACCAATTGTGTTTGGTGGATCCAATGGCATTATGGAACGTTGAGTCCCAATATCTCATTTCCATCATCTCTTGGTCTAATAGATCTTTCTCTACGTCTAGAGAATGAACTAACATGAGAGTTATGGATAGATCAGATTTGTCCACAATGAATTTCTCCAATATATTTTGAATATAGACAACATAGCATACCATAATGTATGAATGAAGGTGCTCAAGTTGCAGTAACGAGCGGTATTTTGGTTTACCCAAATCCTTTATTTTAAAGTCCGTCACTTAAATGATTACATGTGTCATCATTGCAGACACACAACACATGGATAATCATCATTGTAGGAGTAATCCTTGTGTATAAGGATCTCACTACGTCGGTTGTACCATATGTACCGACAACAATAAGCCGTATGGTGGCTTACCGATTTTACACAATGTATGTTGAATTTTGTATTTCGATTCAGAATTGAGATTCCATCGGAAATCAATCATATATGTCTGAATCTAGTGATCCACATGGATATGTGATCACTACATCTATCAACTGCAGAGATAGATGATTTTGAACTGCCAATGATATAAGTTATCAGAATGAGATTCCACCTGTGGAGAATAGTTGGGTATCTACGTGAACCCTTGTGCTACAATACTTGCTCTTTGTTTCACCACCTCGTTATTCTCAATTCTGTTTCCAAAAGAAAACCGGTGTAGGTATTGCTTATGAATACCTTCTCATTATTGAGCAAGATCATTTCTACCTAGATTATACCCTTTGCTTGAGTTCAGTCCGAGTGTTGTTCACACTTTGCCATGGCCATGGTCTTTGGATCTGAATCATTTGAAAGGTTTTTGCAATCTAGTTGAGAAATGTATGTCGACAATTGTAGACTTCCGGTTATATGATTCTCCAGAATCTATATATCGATATATATATATATATATATATATATATATATATATATATATATATAGTTGATGGAAATATCGTTACCCATGATGACTGCTCGCGATTTCCCAATGCGGTTGAGTCGGGTATTCCGATGTCCCGGTCATTCTGTGCACTATGACCTGGGTTGGTGGAGGTTTCCCGTCCACTGGGTGTATACTACCCATCAGGTGTCTGTCAACGTGAAGTTGACTTGCATTTACTGATTCATAGTCCTTGATATCCTTGCTTGCGAGAAGCTAAATCCTGATGTACTATTGCCGTACTTCTCCCCCTGTTGCTTTGAACGGGGAGTTTGAGTGGTTTTAGTTGGTACCTCCACTCTTTCTGACATATTTTTCAGGATTGTAGGATTGTATGACACCTTTATATTCAGTAAATGAATGTGGCAGGTTATTTGCAATGAGTTGTGTTGGGGATATTACTACCAGTTGAGACCCGCCCAGGAGGGGCCGGGTCAGCCCCAATGGTGGGTCACGCAAGAAGCCCAGTAAACATTCAAGATTGTAGTTTATTAAGACTTATAGAAGGCCCAAAGGCCTGAAGGCGGTTTAAGGCCTGATATTATGAACCGCCATATGTAAGGAAAGACTTGTAAAGAAAGGCATGTGAAGGAAGTCACTGAGCCGGACACGTTTATAAGCCGGCCGGGACTCTGTAGGCCACCAGGCGTCAACCCATGTATATAAGGGGACGACCCGGTGGCGGCTTAGAAAAAGAAACAACAAGTCGATAACTAAGCCGACGAGTTGAGCCTCTTGGTGATCGAAACCTCAGCAATACCAATCCCAACTAGACGTAGGCTTTTACCTTCATCGTAAGGGGCCGAACTAGTATAAAACTCTCTCATGTCCTTTGTCCCAATTAACCCCTTTAAGCTTCCTAGTGCGATGGCCCTACGACTAAGTCCTTGCTCTAGGACATCTGCCGTGACAATTCCACGACAATTGGCGCCCACCGTGCGGCCAGCGCACAGTGGATTTGAGTTCTTGAAGGGCAACTTCGAAGGGCTCAAGGGATACGCTGTGGGCCGGATGACCAAGAGTCGTCGCGGCAAGCTCTACATTGACGACGAAGGCTGGGGCCCCGAGGCCGGCTCAATTGAGTACGGGTACCGGGTCCCCTTCGGCGGAATTCACGTCTTCATCGGCCGGATCGGCGAGTCAGGCCCTGAGCCGGACGTCCGCACCAACCTCATCGAAATGGCTCAGCGTGCAAGGACCACCCGTGTTCAATTTGTCATGAAGCATGCCTTCGTAGGCTGCATCCACGGCGGTGAATACTCTGAAGGATCGGTGGAGGGCGGTGAAATGGCCGTCTGTTCTGACACTGCATCATCAACGGACGAAACAAACTCTTTGTACCAGCTGCAAGACGGCATGCTCGGGGGCTGTTCCGATGGCAGTAGTATTCCGGACCCTCTTGAGCCGCCGAATTGGGCCGGAGTCTTCATGGCAGGGACACAACCCGGGCAGAACTCTACAGCAGCGGCAACAACAGGTATCGGGTCGGCTGCAGCCGGGTCAGGAGACCCTGCGAGCCCCCCGGCTCAGATTCTAATGGACCTCATGGATAAACCGACGGCTCTGTTGACCGCCATGGTAGAGCCGGCGGATAAAGCCCAGCATGACACAGAGGTGGCACGCGTGCGTGAAGATATGGTGCAAGCTAAGGAAAATCTAGCCGCAGAGGAAGTCAGGATGGCAGTGGAGCGGGCGGCTTTGGATGTTCGTGCTCAACAGCTTCAAGCGGAGACCTTCCGACTCTCGGTGGATCTTAATGCATCAAACGAGGTCATGAGGAGGAGGCAACGGAAAAATCAGTCACGTCTACCTCTGACGCTTGATCCTAGAAATCTATTCCATACACCCGGGGCTGGGGCAAGCAACCCGCCGGAGGCAAACCGGATCACGACACCCGGCGCACCGGTTCAGCCGCGTGCCATGGAACCACCTCGTGTAATTGCCGCTCCACCTCATTATGTACCAACACCGCCGGATCATTTCTCCAACCCTTTGGAAAACCTCATCGCAGCATCAGCTCGTTTGGCGGCTCTTCCGATGGAAGGTGACTCACCGGCGGCAATCGAAACACGGAGGGTAAGAGAACTTCTTCAAACAGCTTTGGCACAGCAGGATGCGTACTCCTACAGTCGAGACAGGATCC